TAACGGTAATTAATAAAAGGGGAAATCTCTACAAGTTCAATAAATAGTAAATAATTTCTTCTTAAAATGTTTTATGTCACTAATTTGCTTAATATCATTTGGGAGATCATTATACGACTTAGCACCTCAAAAGTCAAATCAGGGTTCCCAGGGGTCAGGGAAAAGTCAGGGAAAAACAGTCAGGGGAAAACACAGTCAGGGAATTTTTTAGTTAGTCAGGGAAATTGTGATTTTGCTGTTCCAAGCAAAAAGTTATGCATTGGATCGATCAATGTAAATCGGACAGCATCATAATAAGGCAACTCATAAAAAAACAGTATATCTGATCCCAGTTTTGCTGGCACAAGCCTTGGCCTTTGTAGCACTATGGAAATCAGCTTGCTGGTAGCGTTCTGCATGTTGTTTACATTATTCATGGGTTCTTTTCTCCCACTCATCTCTATTAAATCCAGAGAAATCAGGCTTTTCACCAAAAGATGGCCTAGGAAATTGCTTGTAACACTTATTACAACCTGTTTAAATGATAAAAAATGGGAATAAATATGTAGTAAATATATAGCTAATAATTATTATGCTGATAAGAATAGAGTATAGTCATTATACCCGTGAAATATGCATAAGTAAAAATAAATACAGATAATTACATGGTGTAAAAGACCTTGAATTAAATAGCAGCTCCCCTTCTAAATTATAAGCCCACAGTCTGTGCTGCCCAGCCTCCATCAAGCACAATCATTTATGATTTTTAATTTTAGAAATATCATTTAAATTGAGTTTCTTTTCCTTGGTACCTCAAGAGGTAACATGGTAATTTACATTGACAAAAAGTCAATATTGGTAGTAAAATAATGCATCTCCACATCATGAAAATCTTACCTCTATTTGCCGCATGACCCATGAAGCCTCCACATTTCCWAATGGCAGGTATGTCACATGTCTATATTTCTCGTAAATACCATTACCACTGTCAAGCAGAACACCATCCCAAAGGTCCGCCAATTCATCAATCAATGGTTGAAGGAAAGTGTTTATATGTAATTTTGGTTCCTTTGGTCCAGGAATTATACCATGGACAATTACATTTTCCATTTTAAACCTTTGCTGTCTTGGTAGATCCATGACTACCATATATATCACCCCAATGCTATGTATCCCATGTTTAGTTGGTTGGAACCAATCCACATTAAGCATTAGTCCAAAATTATTGGGGGCTGATAAAAAGGAGCAGCAGTAAGGGGGACTCGCGGCCACCCCCCGGAATTACATGGGTATTCCCCGCGCTCACGTAAAGGCGTCGGCCGCGGGTATTACCCGTAAGGTCGTTCTGGGTATTACCTGCGTAATTCGATTCGAAAAGCTCTCTACGGGTTTTACTGGTGCCCCACATTACTAAGTTAAAATATTCGTTCCAATAAAAAGAGTTGTAAAGTACCATGCGGCCGCCGCGGGTTTTATGAAAAAATATCGTTAAGTATAAGATGACTGGCAAGTTTGTTTGTCCGAGGTGTAATGGGAGTTTTATAAAGTGTGGCCTGATTTCCCATCTACGCAGGAAGGATCCCTGTGAAATTGTGACAACTTGTACGACAACGCGTGAGGAATACGTAAAGGAGTTGACAAGAAAGCCCGCAGTTCCCAAACCTGCTTTTAGACGTCGTCCTATGGATGATCCGCAGTTCTCCGTGGATCGTATAAATAATAAGCGCGGGCATTACAGAGGCAACGTAAGGCTGACATGCCTAGAGTGTAATCGGGCGCGTGGAGCAGCATTACTCTGAGTCTTTGGGGACTATGAGCAGCTCTTCCTTGAC